GGGGTCTTCTCATTGGGGGGGGCTGCATCCTGGGGGAGGGGTTAGGGGGAATGGGGGGTCACTGAGAGCAGCTACAATCTGAGAGAAGAGATCGGGGTCACTGGGTGGGGTTCAGCTTCGAGGAATGAGTCATGGAGTGTGGGAGTTCAGGCTGCAGCCTGCGGGTAGCATGGTCATTGGGGGGCTGCCGCCCTGGGGGAGGGGGAGTCACTGGAAGAGTGCTCTGCAGTTCCACGACTGTTGGGTGATTTGGGTCATCACTGGAGGAAATGGGGGATTGATGTAAGTTTACTGCATTCAGGGACAAATTAGGGGCAGTAGAGTCACATGGTTGGGGGGGGGGATTACACAGGACTGTTTGGCATTAGAGTGGGGCTATGCCAGTGTCACCCAGTCCCTGGTGGAACCCTCCAGCCCTGGGGGTTGTAATAAGATTAGTGAGATACTGGGGGAAGGAAGACAGTAATGGAATTGTGGGGATGATTATCAAAGAAATGGGGAGTTGTGGGATGGCTGTTGGGGGAGGGTAATAGTGATGGGAACTGTGAAGGGATGGTTGTGGGAGAAGCTTGAAGCTGGTACATAAAGTCTAATGATAGGAGGAGACACTGAGATTGCGATTTCTTCCTATGTTACTGTGTGTCATGGTAAGAGACTGAGGTGTCAGCATCATTGTGGGGAAAGTAACACTGAGTCAAGATATTCTGAGAATCAGCACAAGTACCTGGCACTGATGTTATGGTCTGTATCTGTTATATTTGTCATCTGCAGCTGACTGATAAAGATGGAGAGAGGGAGAGGAGGAGGTGGCGGAAGGAGGAGTGTGGGGGGCTCTGGCCTGCACCGGAACATATACTCCCAGTCTCAACAACAGTATCACTATCCTGCCTCCTCTCAGGGGAGCTGCATGGAGATCCAGGAGCTAGCCTCGAAAAGGGTGGACATCCAGAAAAAGCGATTTTATCTGGATGTAAAGCAGAGCTCCCGAGGCCGCTTTCTGAAGATAGCGGAGGTCTGGATAGGAAGAGGCAGGCAAGAAAATATCAGGAAAAGCAAACTGACTCTCTCCTTATCCGTGGCTGCTGAGCTGAAGGATTATCTGGGAGATTTCATAGAGCACTATGCCCATTTGGGCCTTAAAGGTGGTCATAGTCATAGACACGAACACAGTAATGGTAAAGAGCAAGATTTGAGAAGGCGACAACAGCATCATCTGTCTTCTCCTCCAGCATCTGTTGAATCAGAAGAGCATCCTCACAGTGTCTTGAAAACTGAGTATATAGAAAGAGACAACAGGAAGTATTATCTAGACCTGAAGGAGAATCAACGAGGACGTTTCTTAAGGATTAGACAAACCATGATTAGAGGACCGGGCATGATAGGTTATTTTGGCCACAATTTGGGACAGGAACAGACTATTGTCCTTCCAGCCCAAGGGATGATTGAATTCAGGGATGCTTTGGTCCAGCTAATTGAAGAATATGGGGAGGGAGATATAGAAGAACGAAGAGGTGGGAATGATGAGCCCCTTGAACTCCCAGAGGGGACTTCCTTCAGGGTGGACAACAAGCGGTTCTACTTTGATGTAGGATCTAACAGGTATGGCATTTTTCTGAAGGTAAGTGAGGTGAGACCACCTTACCGTAACACCATCACTGTCCCATACAAAGCGTGGACAAGGTTTGGGGAAAACTTTATCAAGTATGAAGAAGAAATGAGGAGAATTTACAACAGCCATAAAGAGAAAAGAATGGATGTCACAGGTGACAGTGGTGAAGAACAAGAGGGTCTGGAATAGAGTGCATTTGAACTGGTCATCAAGCAAAACAGAAAACCATTAATTGGCTTGAGGTAGTTTGAGTATTAGCAATTTGAAGAAGTTGCCCCTCATTTTTTGTAAGTCCTTTTCCTGTTGTTAGTAACATCTCCAAATATATAATAATTCTGAAGTCTGATTACGTTAAATGACACCTGACATCTCTGTAATCTTTATGGAAATATCAGCTTCCCAAATCTATATGAATCAGCTGCTTCGTATTGAAGACTATGAAAGTAAGTGTATCAGCACAAAAATCTGACTTTCTGACCTTTAAATAGTCTAGATGAGGTACCAAAAAAGCCAGACTTACTTTATGCTGAAAAGTATTAGTTTCTGCTAATGACATGTTTTCCAGAACTAAATATTGTCTATTCTGAGTTTAAAGTCTGAAAAAGCTTAATTACAGGTCATTTTCCACAAAAATTGACTTTGTATGAATTTTATCTACTTGTATGAGGAAAGATAGAAATTTTAAAACAACGTCTACTAGTTACTGAATTTTAAATAATGGTTTGTATGGTTAAAATCTTGATAGCAGGTCAAGCCTTTATAAAGGATTGTCAGAGTGAAATATTAATTTCTTAACCTAATAATTTTGTGACAACCAAATAATTTGAGTGCCACAAAAAAGCAAAACTGTGTTTAAATTGTGATGGGTTATTCAGAATTAATTAAAATAATCCATTCTTCATCTACATACTACACCACACAAGGTTGAGGATTTTTAATGTGTTCTCAATTTCAAAAACTATTTTTGTATTGTTGATGGTTTGGGGGTTCTAGTAAGAAGCTGGAGAGTGAGTATTTTGGTGGAGGAATGATTGTTCGAAGGGAGTTTCTAGGGTTTCCTCCCAAATGTGCGAGTAACACAGGTATAATGTTAATAGTACAATATAACGATAACTTCTGGTTTTGTCCTTTCACTTTGAGAAAAAAACCTTTGGAAGATTTTGGTGCACCACTTCATTGGTATAAAAATGCTTCTCTAACTTCATACTTATTGAAAAAACTTAAAAAACAATGAATGGTCCTGCAAGGTACATTGTACCCTGGACTCCTTACACCATTTGTCTGAAGAAATGGGTTGTGCCCACAAAAGCTCATGATACCATCTACATTTTTTGTTCTTCTCTAAGGTGCTGCAGGACCATAAGTTGTTTTTTTCAGTTACAGACTAACACAGCTACCCCTCTAAGACTTTCATATTTATTGGTAGCACATTTGCAATGCCATGATTAAAGCTGTGTTAGCATGTGCATTATAAATTATTAATTTTATAGGTTTTAGTGTTCCAAGATATAAAAAAAGTATCACCACCCAAATCATGGTTTTAATCATGTAGTTGAGTGTTCATGAGGATGAGCTATCTTTTAATCAAAATGGTAAATTTTAATCTGCTCAAGCACATTTATCTGCAACCAAAATTTAACCCAGTCTTAAGTTTAATCTACCCCCATGCTTCAAATCCACACTAAATTCAAACATCTTAATAAGTCTTTGATCTGACATGCTATTAGTAATATCAAGAATGGCTTTATGTGGGGATTAAGTGAATAATCTGGCCTTTATTTGGGTGCTAAATATGATCAATTAAACTATGAAAAAGTGTGCACCAAAGTCACCAAAGAACTATTAGGAACATATTACACCTGTGACAGAAAACAACAGATGTAAAGAAGTTAATTTCACTGTTTTAGGTGATCCCCTTAGAGCTAATAACCAGTTGGTATGGTGTCAAAATATACCATAAACTAATCACTAATGTATTGATTGATGTTTCAGATATTTTCTTATCCAAAGCAAAGTTTTCTTCTTTGGTCATTTGAATTGCTTATGGGTTATTTGGACCATGACCAATCAATTGAAGGTTTTAACCATAGTCCTAGGGCTTATGGTTCCTATTGGATTTTGAAGTACTAACAAAATTTTTAAGGAGTCCAAATCATACTAAAATAACAATTTATACTATTGTTGGCTTGATAGCAGAATATTAGTGAATGATTCATCAATGTCTAAATTACCATCTCACTAATTGCTGCTGCCCATCACAGTGCCTGAAGTAATGATGAACTTGTCAAAGCTTCCACCAGTCTGGAGCTAGGAATGTAAGAACTTTTTATACTCAGTTCTCCCCTTCAAGTGGTTTTTGTCCCTTCTATACTCAGCACCTTCCAGTCTAAAATAATTTTTCAGCACTCAATATTAAAAGCTAATTTGTTGAAATTATTCCTACATAATATGTGCAATGCAGATAATCTTGCATTACATGTGTTCCTTTGCTCTTAATAGAGACAAATATTTTAATTGTTCAAGTAATTAGTAATTTAAAAAATACGTTTCCTTCACAGGTTTTAAAAACAAACAGGTGCAAAGTGGCATTATTATTACTATCAAGTTGCCATTTTGGAGAATTAGAGCCAGACTGCGTCTTAGCTATTGAAAGTGCGCCAGTGAAGATGTAGACCTGTGTCATTTTGCACCACTGCTTCATAATTAGGTTTCCTGTATTTATTAATTGGCCTTCAGAAACGCATTGATGTATTGTAACTATTACCCCAGGAAGTCAGTATCTGCTGGATGCTGAACAAGCTCAATTCTCAGCTCTGATACACAGGTAAGTGTGGCCTTGTATTTTGTAAAATCAACTAATCCACTTCTTCTCACATGGTGATACGCACCTGAGTATCCAGGACTACATTTGAGCCAGCCATCTACAGTTAAAGCACTGACTATTGGTTTTCTATATAAATTGTAAAGCTCTGATGTTTGCAAATATTATGATTCAAATGTAATGCTAAAAAACTCAAAATGCAAACTCATAATGGTTAAATTTGGAAACGGGTTCCTCATTATTTTTGGCAGTGTGTTCCCAGCTTTTGAGAGCAGCAGTATTATACTGCTTATGTGCAGAAGGGCCCATTATAACACAAAGGAATATTGAATTCCCAGTGCATTTTAAATATTGTCATTCTTTAAGCCCTAAAACTGCCATGACCCTTAAACTTGAGAAAAACACAAGCTTGTTTGCACTAAAGAGCATGGCCAAAAACAATTCCAGGAGGACAGGGTGAAAAGCATCAGTCTGAATTTCTTGAATTAATAGGTTCTCATGAGAGAATTTTATATAGTCAAGCCCTCACCTCTGTTTTAAAGCTGTGTGATCCAGGCAGAAATTCTGCCAGTTCTATAATTAAATAATAATGCACTTTATATTTTGTAAATAATAGAAGCACATTTCTGCTATTAGTCATGTAGGATGTGCTTCAGTAATATATAGTCTAAACCTGTAAGGGATGGTCTCTTGCATGCATGTCTGTCAAAGCTCTGTTGTAATCACTTGATCCAGTTACATCAGTATGATAGAAAAGGCAGACACTATTAAAACTCCTTTCAAAACCATGAGTCTGATTTCCCACCCCACCCCAGAGGTGCTCAGTACCCATAACTCCCATTTGCTGAATTTGGAGTTGTTGGTGCACCGCGTCTCTGAAAAGTCAAGCTCCAAACATTTTGTAACGAATGTAAAGATAGGTTCTCTATTCATAATCTTTATAGAGCCAGGTTCAATAACTCCATCTCACTTTGCCTTTCTTCATGGCTGTCACAGAAGCCCTCATAATCCGAGAAATGTTGGTATGGAGTAATGGCGATTGGGTGGCCTACTGTGGTATTGAAATTAGCCAGTTTGTATTGACTCCAGCCCAAAGTGTGTAAATTTTCTTTCTTGTTAAAGTACAAATGTAGTATGTTGTTGGTTGTAATAGTGCTATCAGAGAGTTGGAAAGTGATCTGCACTAGAATGGTAAGGATTACCACCATGGCACTGTGTAGGATATTTCACCAACCATGACCAAATAGACTGTCCAGTTTCATGAAATTCAGAGAACTTAGCAAACCTAAAAGAAATTCTTGATTAAGGACGTTCAGAAGCAACAACATTTACTCCTGCACCTACGAGAGTGGGGAATTTATTTTAATGTAACAAAACTTGAAAATTCTGAATATAACTGCATCTCAAATGCAAATACACATTTCATACATAGATCAATGATATGCATGTACTTTATCCAGAAAGAAGTTGTTCTTTAAAGTAGGAGCAATCTACTCTTTATCATAAATGCTTCATATGTGTATTTAATATGTATAAATCTAATATATGTATATTGTAAATCCACAGTAGCTCAAAGCGAAATAATATATTTATCTAATACATTTATCTGTACAAGTTTAAAGATGGGACTTAAAAATCAGTCTCTGCCAGGAACACAGTTTGGTTAAATGTGTTATTTCACTGAGAGCTCTTACATATATTATTTATTACATCCCTTTTAGGATTTCTGCATTTAAATGTTTTGATGTATTATTTATTTGGAGTTTGGTGGAGAAAGGGATGGTATAGGACTCTCAGTAGAGCTGAAGAAAAATATGAGAAAAAATAAAATAACTTATTTCAAGGTGTCTTGTGTGAAATAAGTAGTCTTAGGTTTACAGGCAGCTTTGTATGCAGGTTTACTGTAAGCTGCCATAGTATTTCAAATCTGTCTTTAAATCCCCAAATGCTCGAAATCTTTAGGTAGAATAAATGTAAAATTCCAAATAAGCTGCTAGAAGAGTTTAAAACTGGTTTATTTGTGTGAAGGCCCAAACAAAATTACCAAAAACAATTTTAATGCACTTTTTTGCTAAAGGTATATTAGCCAAACAGCTGCATCCTTTTTCTTCAGGGGCCTATTAGAATGACTTAAACTCTGTGGGGAGGAGAATTAGATGAACTTTAGCTCAGTTGATGGACAACCCTTTTAACCAAAAGTGTAGTAATTTGTGCAGTGGAAATGGATTTATTTTGTTGTTTCGTTTTACTGTACAGTGTTTTCACAGTGTGGAAAATGAGTTAGTAAGCAGGCTATGGTCCCGTTGCAATGATACAAATACATGTTTTCTGTAAATAAACTATATATGAAATCTGCAAAGTAAGTCCTAAAAATTAATACATCTTGCATTTTATTTTCTATATTTTCTCTTAAAGTGAAAAATCTCTTAATCCTTTTGTGTGTCATGGCTTTTAAAAATCACCTTGTCTTTCTTATATTCTTTTTTAAAAATTCAGATTTGGAACAATTTTCATTATTCAAATGAGAATGAAAAAGTACACTACATTTAAAATGCCTTTCACAAGCAACTTGAGTTATTCTCTTAGGGAGCAAGTGTAGACGTACCCTATCTCGAGATAAGGATGCAAATGTAGTGTACCAAAATTGCTAATGAAGTGCAGGATTTAAATATGTCCTGCTTAATTAGCATAATCGTGTCCGGGCACCATTTTGAAATCACGTTATTGCGAAATAATGCATACAATGAGGAATAACAGTTATTTCGAGAGAAGGGTTTTCTCTCAAAATAATGCTGCTAAACGTGGCGTTTTATTTTGCAATAACGCGATTTCAAAATGGTGCCTTGATGCGATTATGCTAATTAAGCATGGGATATTTAAATCCTGCACTTCATTAGCAATTTCGGTACACTACATTTGCATTCCTATCTTGAGATAGAGAGCAAGTGTAGACGTACCCTTATATACACATGCTATCAGCAGAAATCCTAGAATGCATTACAGCAAATTACTTATGGATCAAGTATATGTGTGTATGGATTTGTAATATAGTACATATCAAATACATGGATAGGCATATTGACAATTTTAAGTACAAATGAAGTCCTAGGCCTGCAACTTTTGCTGAAGGAAGTAATCCTAATGCAAGTAGTCACATGACTAAGGATTGCAGAATAGGGCCCATAAAATAATTATTTTTTGATGGTAGCTCTTTTGCTTTTAGGCTTTGACCCATATTCTGATCCTATTGAGGGAGGTGGGAAGTTTTCAATGGGAACAAGGTTTTGCCAATTTCTGGATTCTCTTTATGTGCATCTGTGCACTACAATATCAAAAAGATATTTTTGAATTTGGAATCCTTCATCTGCAGTAATTATTGTACTCTGTATTCTCAATTCAGTAATGGATATAATTATTTACATTATGGGTACTATCCAAGGTAGTCTCTTGTGTTATCCCATTTTGCTTTTGCTTTCATCTGGAGTCATTAAAATTTTATTGTACTGCTACAAAAATGAAAAGTAAGCAAGTCTGATTATCTAACAATAGCATGAGATGTATCCATTAGAGTTTTTTGTTTATAGAACCAAAACTTATATCTGACTACAATTCTTGTAAAAGTTGTTGATTTCTCTTTACATGGCAAATACTTGCAGTTCATTATTATGTTAGAAGTCTATCGGTGCTATTTAATTGTAGTTTGTGACTTTGTTTATTGTATAAAATCTAGCATAATGATGGCAGAATTTGTGGTAGTCACAGAATAAAAGCATCTGGGTTAGGAGACAAGGCATCCCTGGAATCAGGTATTTTGAAATATTAAAAACAGACCTTTAGACCAGCTGTTTTCAGAAAAATAAATCAGTGGACGTTCTAAATGTTGGTGGCAGCCTATTAAATGCTATGGGATTAGTAGCTCTCACTATAACCAAGTGCTTTTCTTGAAACTTTACCACACCAGAGATCTGGGGAGCACCTGTATTTATACATATACAGGCCAGGAGTATTTTAAAAATATCAAGACCTAGCAAACTGGAGTTTAGGGTTGCCAGTTTTGATTGGATATATTCCTGGAGTTTTCATCACATGACACAGCCTTTAATTAAATATTAATATTTAATTCCGGGCAACTCCAGGACAGTCCTGGAGGGTTGGCAACCCGGCTACAGTTGTATGATGTACATTTCTCCCTGCCCCGTTTGGCAGGGTTCTCTCTGATAGAAATTGAGAGTTGTCACACATACCTACAACTCTACCCCATACACTTGTGCAAATACTTCTGTTTTAAAAATGCATCACCTATCTTACCTATATTTAATATTAAACTCAGAAAATCATGCAACTCATGGATATGGGCTGTTAATTTAAATACCGCCAGTTAAATTGGCTTGTTAATTACTGAGTAAAAATTCACACAGTGGCAGTGGGGCTGACAGCTTCTGCAGGGTCCCGGGCAAGGGAGGGGGAGTACAGCTCTGTGCCCTAGAAGAGGCAGAGCCAGGGAAGCCATCGCAGTGCTACCCTGACCATGGTTCTGGGACTCCCCCAGACCTCAGAGCCGTGCCAAAGGCATGGCACTCCAGGTGATGATTTAAAGAACCCAAGGCTCCAGCTGCTGCTGAAGTAGCAGCAGTCAGGTGTCGCAGCCCCCTTTGAATCATCAGGCCCAGGGCAACTGCCCCCTTTCCCACCCCATCAGCGGCCTTACACAGTGGGCAGACTAGAGCCCTCATGATCTAACTATGTGAATTTCAACCTATGTGCCATATGGATCACAAACAGGATAATTATAAAATGGTTAGATTCCTCTGAGAGGGGAAGCGAAGTGTATATCAGTTACTCTAAGACTTCTGACTTTTAAGCATTTTCCCTCTGCTATATGTAGTATATACACAAATACACTGGGGGGGGAGAGAGAAGGTATGTGTGATTGGGACGGATTTGATGTTAACAATACACTAATTTTCAAAAGGATGCTAAATATTCTAGCAAGTAGTTTGTTTATTAAATCAGATATATTCAGTACATATTGTAAATAGCAAGCTTTGCTTTAAGTAACATAAAACATTTAATTGTTAATGCAAAAAGTACATTTACTCAGAATGGTAGCACAACAAACAGGATCTCTGAAACTGATTAAAATATTCAGGAGTATATAGACTTACAGTTGGGGGTAAACTTTAAACCCATACAAGTACTTTTCATGTTCCATTCATAACACATTCCGCTGGAGAGGAACAGAGGGAGACAGGAACAGGAGCACCCTGCCGGGGAAAGAGAGAGAGACTCTCTAAAACTTGGAATTCGAACCCAGCATTCCTGAGTTTCAGCATTCTTCTATGATTATAAACACCCCCTCTCCCCCCCCCCCCCCCCAAATTTTGTACAGATTGAACGTCTCTCGGGACCTGACTGGTGCCGAATCAGAGAATTTGCCAAATCAGCATTACCAATGCTTCCACTGCTTCCTAGGGATGTGAAAGAATAACAGTGCAAACGGTTAACCGATAAGCCTGGGTGCACTAGTTAACGTTCACGGTTACACGCAGGCTCCTGTCCCTCTCTGGTGTGTGCTGGGATCTGGCTTTTAAGCTGGCTCCCAGCACGCACTGGCAGCCATCCAACACTGCTGTCTCTGTATCAGAAGCAGCAGGCTGGTGGCAGCCAGTTCTTCGGGAGCGGGGTGCAGGCAGGAGCCAGCTGCTGCCCTGCACTGCTGCCTCTACATCAGAGGCAGCAGAACAAGGTAACTGCTAGGGCATGCTGGGAGCCAGCTTAAAAGACAGATCCCAGTACATACCAATTCCCAGGAACCTGGCTGCTGCCCCACGCTACAGGTAACGGTGTTATTGCTGAGATTTTCACCGGTTACACGATTACCCAGTTACCCACTCTTTAACATTCCTATCGCTTACTAGGTTTTTACAAGATGTTTAGGGGTAAATTAGAGCTAAATATCAGCACAGAACACTGAGAGCTAGGATTGGTGGCTGTAAAAACTTTATGGGAGTGTGGGAAAGTTGGCCACACCCATGTTAAGTGACCATCCAGCTAACTAAAATCACGCTGGATCACAGATGGTACCAGACCAGAAAGTGCCAGACTAGAGTGGTTCAACCTGTAGTCCACATAGAAAATAGCAGCCTACTACTGCTACCATTTACTCCATTAACCCAAATGGTGGAGGTCTGTGTGATAGATTTAAAAGTTCCAAGCTTGCTGCTGACTTATGTCAGAGGGGAGTCAATAAGTTCCAAAAGATGGAATTTGTTGGTTGTTTAAAATTGTAGGAAATTCAAATTTAAAAAAAAAATCTACATTGTAAGAATGTTAAGATTGCAATGTCAAGTACTCAAAAGTTAATAAATACCAGCATTAAGGTTGCACTTGCTATTTGGTATCCTTTTGTGTATACCTTTTGACACAGTCTTTAATTACATGATTATATACTTCTGTTTCAATAGATTGCGTGCCTCATTCAATACACATGATAGTCCAGGAACAGGGAATGAATCAGGGTTTTGCAGTGAAGGAGAATGTTGTCTGTATGACCCCTGCCTCGTCTGTTGCAAAAGGTGGAAGATGTGGTGCAGTTGAGGCAGAGGATTTTGTAAAACCATCCTTTCTCTTCCTGGTTAAGGTAGCTGAATACTATCCTGGATAATTGGTGTCTGTCCAATTATCCTCCACAGAGTTTTTGTGTGATTTTATGTACGTCACTTACATTAAGCTTTTAACAGGTGGCCATTAACTGTGTTCCTCGTTCTCAGGATGCCCACTGAGGGACACCTGGGCCTAATTTGTGGAAGGGTAGAACACAATTGCAATTGAAGTCAATGGGATTCTGAACCTATAAAGTACTATATATAACATCACTACATCCCCTGAAACATTAATTTTAGGCATCCATCTTGAGAAACTGATTAATGAGCACTCGACAATTTTGGCTCTATTTTGTGTGCGCGTCAGCTACCAATCTGTAAAATGGGGGGAATATCTTTCTAGCTCACAAGGGTGTTGTAAAATATAAATTCATTAATACTTGCAAAGCACTTAATACTACTGTAATGAGCACCAAGGAAAATCCCAAGAGGAATTTATTAAATATTCAGTGCAGAGTTTGAATAGTGTGTAATAAATTAGGCCTACAGTTGCTCATTGAATGATAATTATAAAAACAATAGTTGCCTCATTCATAGAGCACCCTGTGCTGTGAATAAGGAAGGGTTTCACTGGAAAAAATGGTCTGAAATTTATAAACTAAACACTATACTGTATATACACAAGAGGACTGAATTAAGGTTGCATGAGCAACCTTAATTCTAGTATTTCCTAGGTTCTGAATGCTTGACTGTTAAGCATTAACTTTTTTAACTGCCAAAAATTTTCTGAAGAATACAAACAACAGCCAGAAAATGTTGATTTTTAAAGGTGTATATATCTCTTAATAGAATTTAACAGGACAAAAAAAAGGCACTTCTCTAGCCTACAGGTGTTCCCATACATGCTGAAACAAGGGGGAGGGGCTATCGTACCCCCTGGCTTGAAGTGATTTCTATTATATCCAGGGTTTACAGTTTGGTTCATCGGCTCTCAGCATCCCCTTTATCAAAATTATTGCAGCTGCACATGGGTATTCCCTG